AGAGAGAGAGAGAGAGAGGGAGAAATAGAGAGAGATCTTCCATCCACTGGCTCACTCCCCAAATGGCCGCAATGGCTGGGGCTGGGTCAGGCTGAGGAGCCAGGAGATTCTTCCAGGTCTCCCACGTGGATGCAGGGGTCCAAGCACTTGGGCCATCTTCTACTGCTTTCCCAGGCATATTATCAGGGAACTGGATTGGAAGTGGAGCAGCTGGGACTCCAACCATCACCCACATGAGATGCTGGCATTGCAGGCTATGGCTGTACCTGCTATGCTACAACACCAGACCCCATCATTTTTAATGAGACAAAAATGTAAAATAGAACACCAAGAACAATGTTATACTGGAGATTGGATATTGGTCCATTAAACAAGTAAATTTAGTTGGAACTATATATATTTACACATATATAAATAGATCACTTAAAACACTTAACAATGAAGGTTGCCTTTGTTTTTTAGGAACATATTCATTCCCCACTTGGGCAGCTTTTTGGTGATAGTTATGACATATGTGAGGTGCTGAGCTTAGCACCATGAATATAAAAAGGTGGCCTTGTCCTGAGGAGCTTATATTGCTGAATGTTCACATAGAAGTGTGTTCACTGAAAAGGTTACTATAGAGTTTACATGTAGCTAGGGAAATAATAATCATTTTCACATTGATATGCCTAAATATTATATCATCTTTGGTGGCAAAAGTTACAGATGATTTGGGAGCAAGGACATCAGGAGGGCAGAATAAGAAGCCCAGGGCTCCTCTCCTCACAGAGATCCTGATTTGGCGTATAGACCAGGTTGACCCTGTGAATACTTCAGAAACCACTGAAGAGCTTACAACACCCCGGAAAAGCACACAGCCAAGAGGAGCCCCATTGATGTGGATAAAAAATCTGTTGTGTTAACCCGAGACAGCCTGTCCACCTCCCAAGCACAGTGTGCAGTGGCTGGGAGGAAACTCTGAACTCCCGGCTTCTTCATCAGGATGGAAATGCAAAGGTAGACCATGCATCCCGAATTCCGGGTTGTCAGGGATCTGAAGGTCTGGCCGGTGTCTCACCTGACTTAGACTGCTGAATTGATCTTCAGTGTGCTTTGGGTTCCAGGGTGTGGATGTCTAAAGACAAGGATGAGCGCAATGGCTTGTTTCAGCCCAAGAAAGTGCAGTGTTGCAGAAGAGGTGAGCAGGCGTTAGAGACTACAGGTGTGTGAGATAGAGCACAAATCTGTTTAAAACGTGAAATTACACTCACAAGCCTGGAGAAGATCTATCTCTAGAAACGGTTTGGCAGGCATCCAAGTTTCTAATCCTTGTTATTGGCCACAGTTTGCATTCTACAAATTCAGTTCAAGACAGAGAGATGGCTGTGTTTTCAAATATCCAAATCACCAAGCATAAAAAGAAATAGGCCCAGACTCTGGGAGATACAACCCAACCTTACAGCATTGATGGTGACTGCCGTTTTGATTCTGTTTTGTTATGGCAGGAAAAGTCTTGCATGAGGAGCATATCGAACTCTTGATGGAGGAATTTGCATTCCTGAAAAATGAAGTGGTGGGGAAAGAGCTGCTGAGGGGGTCACTTCTCTTCACAGGTCAGTTTTGGGCGGGATCAAAGGTCATAGGTGAGGTCAGAAGGCCAGCTGCGTTCTTTCCTAGCTGTCTAGGATGTCAGCTTGGATTCGTTTCTGCCAATCATTCTCTGACTGAGCTGACCTAATTTTCCCATGCTTCTGTGAATAACAAAATGTATTTTTTTCAAGTGAGTTTTAATTGCTTGGTGGGCCTTGAGTCCAAAATGTGTTAGAAATCCCAAGCATATTCATGGTTCTGCCCCAGTGTAGTAGGCAGAATTTTCCATCCTGAAATCTCGACCAGTTGGGGATTATTTTTCTACAGGAAGTTGTACATGTTTATGTCAACATATATACACATGTGTACATGCATGTATTAGAAACCTGAAACCTGTTTCTTTTTCCCTTTGGTTGGATTGACTGCTATTTCTGGTAGCATGTCTTACTTTGCAAAGCTAAATTTAATTTTAAAAAAAGGAAAAAGGGAGGTACCTCTATGAAAGACTTTCAAGCTGGCCATCTAAGTTTCTGTGAGTGTCAGTCATCACCTTGCACTCCCAGTGCATAAGGCAAGGTGTCTGTCCTGATCACTTGGCCATGTCTTTTCACTCCCACTTCGTCCCTGGCTCCTCTGGCATCTGGCAGTGCCTCCCTCCCAGTACCCACGCCTTTGTGATTCCCACAGCTGGCCCTCTGGAAGAAGAGCGGTTTGGCTTTCCTGCATTCAGCGGCATCTCTCGCCTGACCTGGCTGGTGTCCCTCTTTGGGGAGCTTTCTCTTGTGTCTGCCACGTTGGAGGAGCGGAGGGAAGACCAGTACATGAAGATGACTGTGCACCTGGAGACTGAGAGTAAATGGTAAGTGGCAAGAAACCTGAGGACAAGGGAGCTCAGGAGTCTTTCCCGAGTGCACTGGAGTGACTCCAGGGGGAGCTGAGCTGGTCTGATGCCTGGAGCCAGGAGCTTCTTCTGCGTCTCCCACATGAGTGCAGTGGCCCAAGCACTTGGGCCAGCTTCTACTGCTTTCCCAGAGAGCTGGATCAGAAGAGGAGCGGCCAGGACAAGACCCAGTGCCCATATGGGATGCTGGCGCTACCCATGGAGGCCTGACCTACTATGCCATAGAGCTGGCCACTGAATTAATTTTTTTACATGGAGTTAGACCACCTTTTTGCTAGAGTTTATGATAATAATTCATTGTTAAAAATTTGAAACACAACCAGATTTATTGACAGATTGATTAGTTAATTTACTAATCTAACTGCTATTTTTAAGATTCTATGTCTGATCCACGTGTGATTTTCGATTTTGGGGTGAGCGTTAGGAACATGAGTCATTTCAATGACCTTCCAGACTAGAGATCTTGCTGGGCAGCAGTTCTTTAAAGCAGGTTGGCCCCTGCCTGGTTTGTGGGCTGCATGATGTAGCACACTCCGGTGGCAGGAAAGCCATCTCCTCCTGGGAATGCAGCTCCAGCTTCTGACTGTGCCACAGGAGAAAGCTTTGGGGCTTATAGGTTTCTTGTCTCCTTCTTCCAAAGCTTATCTCAGTGCAATCCTGCTCCAGCTCAAAGCAGACATCTTCCCAGAGCTTGTCACTGCACATTAGGAGCCACCACCCATTGTCTGATGGCATAGTTAAGTTATTCCTACCTTCCAACAACATAGTGAATTGGAGCAGAACCACAGGAGTGTGGGTGTGGGTGCGGGTGCGGGTGTGGGTAGGGGTAGGCAGCCACTTACATATAGAGAAATATCTGAAAATACTGTGTTAAAGATACTGTGATTTTAGTAGAACTTATGGATTTTTTTTTTTTTTTGCTTGAGAAGTCCTTAAATCAATGGTGTGGAATTTTTAGAATATATTTTAAAGAGCAGGTCAGAATACTTAGTGAAGCTATTTATTTTAAGATCTGTGAAGAGGAGATTTCTCTGTTTTCTATAAATTTATATCACAGCTTTTACCTGCTACCATAGAGAAATGATTCATCCAGAGAAGGGAGAGATTGCGGAGTCTATTCAATTTGAATTTTAGATTTTTATGGTGCTGACATGAGCCAGCAGGGAAAGTCTGGAGTGGAAATGGAAGTAGTTTGTTAACCAGTAGAGGGTGTTTTCCCTCTGGTGTGTGATTGGGCTCATGGACTTCTTTGAGGACCTAATGAAAAAACTAAGAAATCTTCCTGATAAAAATGTGTGCATTGCGTGTGAACAACAGTTGTATGCAGTCTGAGGTGGCTCGTGAGCTGCCCGTTGTCCACATCTGGAGCCCCTAGAGGAACCCATAAGACTCAGAGTAAAATCTGAATCACACACGAGTGTTTACAGCAGTCATTGAGTGAACTTCCCTGCCTGATAGCAAATGTAAACACAGGACTGTCTGGCAGGAAAATTGGAAACACCATCAGCCCTGGCCTTGGGGAAGCTGGTAGAGACTAGAGACGGGGATAACACCTCAACCACTGCGTTGAGCTGCCGCTCTGGGCAGATGTTTGCAAACTGAAGCCCTGTTACCAGGAGGCTGGGTGCCCCCACTCCCCGCGCCCCCACCTAACCTCTCACGCTATGATGCTTTTGTCCTTGCAGCCCGCTGTCCTGGATCGAAGAGAAAGGGCCTGGTTTAAAACGGAACAGATATTTAAGCTTCCATTTCAAATCGGGGTCCCTGGAGAACCTGCCTAATGTAGGAGCCAATAAGGACATTTTCCTGAAAGATCAGAGCATATTTGTCCAGAAACTCCTGGGCCGGGTCTCTGGGAAGGAGCTGGCTGCTGAAAAGAAGCGAATCCTGCACTGCCTGGGGCTGGCGGAAGAAATCCAGAAAGCCTGCCACCAGAGGCAGTGAGGGCCGAGGCCACACCGCTGCCCTGGCAGCACAGCTGGGTTTTGTCAACAGCTGACCGCTATCCCTACTCTGACGATTAAACTTGTTGGTAAGCAGGATCAGTTTATGGTTATGCGCTGTGCTGGGATGAACTTGGGGCTGGGGCCCTGCAGCAGGGATGAGGCTGATAAATGCTTCGTATGCTTCTTTTTCATTGACTTCCCAGCAGCTCTGGGCAACGGGTGTCCCAGGGCCTGTTTGTGTTAGTGTCCTGGACAGTCTTGCCCAAAGTCATCCAGATGGGGAAAAGCAGAACTGACTTTACACCCTGCCCGTGCCACAAACCGCTACAGAACACTGGCCTGAAACCACTTCTGTGTTTGAAAGAACTTTATTTCCTCCAAAAGTCTCTTGCTGGGTGATGATAGCAGCTGCTGGAAATTCTAAAACAAGATGTAGCCTCTGTCCTTAATAACTCACAGTAGCTAAAGAGAACCAACCACATATCCATCTCATTGTTGCTGGCAGATCCCCTAAGAGAGAGAAGGGCCTGTGGACCTGGGGCAGTGTCTAAGGGACACGTCCAGAGGGATGACTGGGTTAGCTGCGTGCAAGTCAGGGGACCTCCTGTGCCAGTCGCAGGAGAGCAGGACCACAGCAGCCACTTCCCCTTCCTGCCCCTAATGCATTTATTTGCACCCATGAAAATGCTTTCATAACAGTGTCCAGCTGTACCCTAAGGGGAACTGCAGCCAGGGACAAGAAACCAGAGCCCAGAATCCCCTGTGCTTTCTTTGTGAAGCAGCCACTCTGTACCTCATTCTTCTGGGCCTGGAGCACCAGAGAGTTACCCAGACACCCTAACCAACACCAAGCCCATGTTCTGCTTGCAGCCTGCCTGACTAGTGCTGTATTGTCTGTGCTGCCGCGGGCGAGAACCGAGCTCTCCAGTTCACAGGGTGAGGAATGAAGTTACAGATCCCACAGCTCCAGAGACACGGCATTCTTATTCTCGGAAGGGCACTTGTTCTTTTTCTCAGATTTGTAGGAGACGCTAAAACTGCCAATTGAAATGTTTTGCTTGGATTAGACAGCAGGGAATGTCAACCTTGAGTCAGGGGGCAGGAAGAAGGTTTTAGGAAGGAGGCTTTGGGGTCAGAGGAAGGAGCATAAGGCTCCAGGGTCTATGGATGGACCTCACAAAGCCCCAGGTGAGCAGCGAGAGGTCAGGCAAGATCAGTCTGCTCTTGACCAAATGGACACAGTGACCTGCTCTGTAGCAGGTGCCTTCAGGTGGAAGAAGCCAGCAATGGGATGTAAGCAACTCAAGTGGAGACATGTCATGCCAGCTACCTTGTATGTATGTGTGTTAGGAGTGGAGCCATATTGTGCCAGCTGCCTTGCATGTATGTGTTTTAGGAGGGAGACATGTGCCAGCTGCCTTGCATGTATGTGTGTTAGGAGTGGAGACATGTCGTGCCAGCTGCCTTGCATGTATGTGTGTTAGGTGTGGAAGGCATGTTGTGCCAGCTACCTTGCACGTGTGTGTTAGGAGTGGAAGGCATATTGTGCCAGCTACCTTGCATATGTATGTGTTAGAAGTGGAAATCTATTAAGCTGGAATGAGTGAGTCATAAGCAATTAATCAAACAGGTTTGGTGAGCAGGCAGGGCGGGGATGATCAAGTTGCTTGGGGAAGGACTAAGTCCCTAGGAAAGAAGAGCCAAGGAAGGCTGGCAGAGTCTGAAGCTGAGAAACAAGAAAGCCCCAGAACTCAACGGATGAAATCTGCATTTCCACAAGACGGTGGTCCCCACTCACTGCCTGTCTGTATCACGGAAGGGGTGGGAAGGCGTGTTGCACTCGGCTCCCGGGGGCCTTCCTCTGCCTCAGCACAGGGCCATACATTATGCTAATTAATTGACCTGCATAGGAACCAGCCCATTCCCACCATGTCCAGTCTGCAGACAGTGCTGTGTCTCCAGGCTTCCAGAACATGAACTCTTCTCCTGGGGTAACAGAGCTCATTACATTCAAATAATGAAATTGCCTCCTAAATTAGTGGCATCCATGTAGGCTAGGAAGAATCGGTCTTATTGTGTGTATACATTTAATTGAGAAGCAGAGATAGAAAAACAGAACTTCCATCCACTGGTTGACTGTAAATGCCTGCAGTGGCTGGGCTGGACCAGGGTCAAAACCAGAAGCCTGGGCCTCAATCCAGGTCTCCCCGTGGTGGCAGGAACTCAACTATGTGAACCATCACCTGATTCCTCCCAGGGTGCACACCAGCGGGAAGTTGTATCATAAGCAGAGAAGCTGGGTTTGGAACCAGGCACTCCAGTAAGGGATATGGGGATCCCAAGAGGTGTCCAGACCTCTTCCCCAAAATATACACTTTTAACAAGAGTGTCAGCATCAGTAGGACTTTGTTTGCACTGTTGTCTGCTAGGTAGCTGCTTTGGCTTTGTTTCTCTATGAGCCCAGAAGTGTAGCTTCTGTGTGATTGCTTCAACTGTAGTCAACACCCACAGTCTAACAGTGCCACAGTTGTCTACACTGCAGCGGTTCCTGGAGGGAGTGGGTGGGGGGTGGCTGTGCTGTAGCAACTTGGGTTTGCAGGCTTTGGGAAGGGGTGGGCAATATAGGTTCCTCTTTTTTCGAGCAAAGCAGTTGCTCAGATCCCAGTTTTCTGGACTGGAGCTAAGAGCAGAAAGGGCTGTGGAGTTCTGTAGTTGGGGCTGCTGCTCTGCGTGACAGAGTTTCTCAGCTTCCCTGCTTCCCTTTTCCCCGTGAGCGCAGTCTGCACCCATCCCTGGCCTGGGACCTGGGCAGGCGTTGCTGTGAGCTGTGTTCCCCTCTCTACGCTGGCTTTCTAAGTCCCCAAGCTACATGACAGTGTCCTGTCACTTTCTGTTTGTTTTTAATTTTTATGTTTGTATTTGAAAGGCAGGGAGACAGAAACGGACAGAGAGTCTGCTGGTTCTTTCCCCAAATGCCCAGAACAACAATAACTGGGCCAGGCTGAAGCTAGGAGCCTGGAACTCAATACAAGTCTCCTGCATTGGTGACAGAGACCTGAGTCCCCGAGCCATCATCTCCTGCCTCCCAGGGTGTGCATTAGCAGGACGCTGAAACGGGGGCAGCGCTGGGCTTGAACCAGGCACCACGACATGGGGTGTGGGTATCCCAAGTGCTCTGTAAACTGCTGTGTCAGATGCCCACTGTCGCTTCTTCACTGACGCTCTCCCTCCATGCATCGCCTGGAAAAGCGGGCCTGCCTTTGTCGGCCTGGCCCTTCTCTGCGGCAGAGGCGAGGCCCCCCCGCCCCCAATCCATTCAGCCATCCGGGATCAGATTCCTTTCATTCTCTAAATGCTCACCGTTTCAGAAATAGACTGTGTCAGTTTTCTTCCTCAATACCAGCTGTGTGACCATGAGGTTCAGTCCCAGCCTCTGTTGGTTCTGTTTAAATGTCACCTACACAACGCTTCCCTTGACCATCCCATGAACACTGTGCTCCGTCCCTCGTGTCACCTGCCATTCCCTCTCCTCCTTCCCTATCTTTTCTCCTCCGTAGAACTTGTCTTCTAAGGTATTTTATGAGATATCTTTTATTGAGGATTTCACTGGTGTCTTCCCTGGAATATAAACTCCATAAAAGCTGAGATTCTGTCCTTTAATTCATGTTACTCCAAAGTGATGAGAACAGTGCCTGTCACCTAGTAGATGCTCAATAAATATTTACTGAATGAGCAGTGCCTACAAGTGCAGTTTCTCCCTGCTTCCTGACCACTCGTACAAGCCTCGGGCCCTTCACTGTTGGGCAGTAGACACATGCCCTTCATTTCCCCAGAGAGAAAGTCACACCTGTCCAGATCACATCCCTTTTCTGTTTCCTCTTGGCATAGAAGTGTAGCTTTCTGGGGCTGGCCAGCTCTGTAGGCTAATCCTCTGCCTGCAGTGCTGGCATCCCATAGGAGTGCCAGTTTGTATCCTAGCTGCTCCTCTTCAGATCCAGCTCTCTGCTATGGCCTGGGAAAGCAATGGAAGAGACCCCAGGTGCTTGGGCCCCCACACCTGCATGGGAGACCCAGAAGAAGTTCCTGGCTTCTGGCTTCAGGTTGGCCCAGCTCTGGCTGTTGTGACTATCTGGGGAATGAACCAGCAGATGGAAGACCTTTCTCTATGTCTCTCCCTCTCTCTCTCTGTAATTCTGCCACTCAAATAAATAAATCAAAAAAAAAAAAAGTGTAGGTTTCCTTCCTCAACCACATGGGCCCCATGTGCCCACCACCAAAGTTGACTTCCATTACACTTAGGATATGGATTCTGCCCAACTCCTGTTTCCTGGAGAGCTGTGACTCATCTGTCCTATATGATTTTCAAAATCCTTCATAAATTCCTAACCATGCGAAAGCTGCTTAATTTTGATGACTTAATGAGAGTGAATTAAGAAATACTTGATTCATTTCTATTTATGCATAAAAGTACTTAACCTTAATGGTGCAATTAATTCACACCAAATGTGAATAAAATATCACCATGCAGAACCTTTCAAAAAGAATGCATTTTAATGATGAAAGCCAGTATTTGCAAAGTTTTTCTGTGTGTATCTTTTGTTGTATTAAACATGTACTGTCATGTATATATATATCCAGGTGGATATTAACACAATTTAGTTTGTCATAAAAGTTATGCTTTAAAAGTCTCAAAAAAACAAAAAATAACAAATTCTTCTTAGAAAATGACATTTAGGAGTTAATGGCATCAAAGTTGCATCTTAACATAAACCTTACTGCAAATATACAATTCTTTCAAACACGATACATGGAAAATGGGCTGCCCTCCCCTAAGGCACTGTGGCTTTCTCCTCCAGCCTATTAAAGAACACAGGGGCTAACAACTGCTGAGTATAAAATTTTCTACTTGGAAAATCCCCCAGGACCATTCACAACCTCTTACTTTTAAAAGTACCATATAAAAAGTTTCAAATCAGTTTCCAGAAAAGCTAATATTGGTCCATAACAGAAGCTTCCTTTGGCTTATTTTAACTTTATAGCATAAGAAAATTCCAATTTGAAATGATAATATAAGATATGTAAAATAGCAGCCATCTAGCCGAGGTAAATTTTCTAAAGCTAACTAAACAAAAAGCCTTTTCTTCTTTTCCAAAATAGCTGTGACACAGCTGCCTGCCAATGTTTGTTTACAAAAATGTTTACCACCTGCTGGCATCCCAGCCCAGGAACCAGCCTGTGAAGGTGGGGGGCTCATGGCCCTGCTTGATGATGACGATCGGTGTCCCCTTGTCTCGTCCAGAAGGGTCTGTCTCAAGGTACTTTTTGGCTAGAAAGAGTTGCAAAGACACAGAATCAATTAGTTTGGGCTCGACTAAACTATAGGATTATTCTTCCCATAAATTGAATTTTTTTGTTTCCAAGTAGCCAGAAATGAACAATTTCTTATTGATATCTCTCACCTGCATGCAAAACACCAAGAGAGTCTGTCTCATTAATTCTTCAAAGAATTCCATGTTTTATGGCATAATTATTATTGTACTTTTCAATAAAAAGAAAATTATGCCAGAAAGAACAGTATTACTCAAAAAAGGAAGTTAAAAAAACTTATCAAAGTTATGAAAGGTTTACTACTCTAACAAAATAAAAATTTAAGTGAATTGAAACATTTTGGAATACATGGAAATAATTATATTGTAAGTTAGGTAACAAAGCATTATTCTTATATACATTCTGAGGTTCTTCATGTTTTAAAAATTCCATTGTTCTAGGCTACCTCTCGGTTTTGGCACATAATTTTGGAAGATGTGGTGTGAAAGAGCCGCGGGCACTCAGTTACAGCCGCGCCAGGGCACTGCCATCACGGTTGGTGGGAGGTGGCTCACCTGACTTCACAGATTCAGTTTTCTCCACTTCATTGGCATCATTGCCAATCCAGATGAATATCTGAAAATGAATCAGTTGCAATAATGTAGCATTTGGGGAGTGTTGGCTCAGTGCTGGCCACCAGAGGAAGTCCTTCACACTCGTGGCGCATCTACTCTTCACAACAACCCCAGAGGCCAGGGAGGTAGAGAGGGACCCGAGGGACCCGAGAAGTTCAGTCACTTCCCCAAGGTCACCCTCATCAGGACACACCCAAAGGAACAGCCAGCGGCTTGGTCTCCATATTTTATTTATGTTGACTTGCATTTTTGTTAAATGTCTTATACAAAGATAATGTCTTTCACAAAAACAACAGGCTGCTATTTCTGTGCACCTGCTCTGCTCCCTGGGGTGGGAAAGACAGCATCGCCCCACTTCCTGAGTCTGGGCTGGAGGGACCACACCCAGACACAGAGCTTCTGCGGGGACACCCAAGACTGCCATTAGGGCTCTGCCGTCTCATATGGTATTGTGCCCTGTGACACTTTGGTGAAAGTGTTACAGTTCTTAGTATTTAAATATTGAGGTTTAAAAAGTTTTAATTAAAAAAATATAAAATGAGGCCGGTGCCACGGCTCACTAGGCTAATCCTCCACCTGCGGTGCCGGCACTCTGGGTTCTAGTCCCGGTTGTGGTGCCAGTTCTGTCCCGGTTGCTCCTCTTCCAGTCTAGCTCTCTGCTGTGGCTCGGGAAGGCAGTGGAGGATGGCCCAAGTGCTTGGGCTCCTGGCTTCGGATTGGCACAGCGCACCGGCCGTAGCAGCCATTTGGGGGGTGAACCAATGGAAGGAAGACCTTTCTCTCTGCCTCTCTCTCTCTCTCTCTCTCTCTCTCATTGTCTAACTCTGCCTGTAAATATATATATATATTTATATAAAATGAATGCATACTTCCCTTTGTCAAATGTATGGGTGCATGGGTTGGGTACTTTCATGCTAAAAAAATCCTCCTCAATTGCCTTACATTTAAATCACTTGTTGGAAAAAAAAATTGGTCAAATTAAGCTGTGGTTGTATTCTAATTTGTGGTGAAAGTTCTGGAACCTTTGGGTGCCAGGCACAGAACTCACCATGATGGAACAGTAATACAAGTGAAAAGCATCACATTAAAACATGGAATGTAGCAAAGGGAATATTCGAAACTGCTCATCACTCCAGAAACAGCAGAGTTGGTTACAAATAAGACTCAATACATCTGAGTAAGGAAATATCATTGTTAAGTGCACAGCGGTGCTTTATTCGCATGTGGTTGAAAATCCCACACCTGGCAACCGGCGCCGCGGCTCAACAGGCTAATCCTCCGCCTTGCGGCGCCGGCACACTGGGTTCTAGTCCTGGTCGGAGCGCCGGATTCTGTCCCGGTTGTCCCTCTTCCAGGCCAGCTCTCTGCTATGGCCCAGGGAGTGCAGTGGAGGATGGCTCAAGTCCTTGGGCCCTGCACCCCATGGGAGATCAGGAGAAGCACCTGGCTCCTGCCATCAGATCAGCGCAGTGCGCCGGCCGCAGTGCGCCGGCCACAGCAGCCATTGGAGGGTGAACCAACGGCAAAGGAAGACCTTTCTCTCTGTCTCTCTCTCTCTCACTGTCCACTCTGCCTGTCAAAAAAAAAAAAAAAAATCCCACACCTGGCAATGAACAATGCATTCACATGGGGAGAATGTGTGCCTGGATCCCCTCTTCATATGTGGGTCACAGCAGATAATGAAGCCCAGGTACAATGCACCTGAATGGCTTAGCAATTAGACCTCAAAGTAGCAGGCTCTGTGTCCACTCTAAGATTAGGCCCAATTCAGAGGAGCATCTCACAATCTCCTATTTAATTTAGTTACTAACATATTTATTTTTCCCTTTCACTATTATGAGTTTACACAGAGGCTTAAAAAGGCTAGCAGCTGTGGTATATCAAGTTGCCATTTTTTTTTCCAAAATTAAGATATGTAGAACAGTAATATACTTACAGTGTAATTTCAAACCTAAGCTGAGCCAATTTATTCCTCAGGACAGCGCTTCCTTATGACTTCTTGTCAAATTTTAAGAAAAATTCTGAATATTTTGGTAGCCTTCAAAGTACTGTATCCCTTTGGCACTGTACCCATTAATGCCTTTATTAGGTAGGCTATATGACTAAATTAGGAGTAGGTGAACTTTACAGAAGATTTTTCCCCCTAAGACTATAAAAGCAAGAATAGCATCTGTGTGATTATTCCCACATTAAAAAATCAAATCGTATTGCTTCTTTCTAAGTGCAGCCCAAACTCCAGGCCCACTTATTGCTGAGTTTGTCATTCTCAAAGCAGGGTCTCAGCTGTCCCCATGAGTCCCCACTCTGAGCAGGGTCTCAGCTCCCCCCACGAGTCCCCGCTCTGTTAGGAACAAGACCCAGTCCTCACCTGCTCCCAGGTATCGAGGAGCATGACATCGTCTTCTGCCAAATCGCTCTGGGTGAACTCTCCTGGAACCTCTTCAATCTGCAATGCACGAAAGATTCTACACCAAGCAGGAGAGCCGCGCTTTCTCTCTTAGAGCCTACCGCTGCCTCTGCATTATTTCGGGGTGCAGTGAAACCTTGGCAGTCATTTCTAAATGCCCACCTGCCCTGCAGGTTATGTTCATATCACCCTGAGAGTGGCTGATTTGTCCCTAGGATTTGATCCTGGCACACAGCCAGACTCCAGCTTCTTTCTGATCACAGACTCAAAAGGAAAGCCCCTCCTTGGGGCAGGTGTTGTGGTTCAGCTAGTTGGGCCACCTCTGGGGAGGTCTGTACCCCGTCCCACAGTGCCTGGGTTCGAGTCCTGCCTCTGCTTCCAATTCAGCCTCCTCTTAATGTGCCTGGCAGGCAGCACGTGATGACTCTGGGACGTGGACTCCTATCACTCACGTGGGACGGGGGATGGAGTTCCTGGCTCCTGGCTGTGGCCTGGCCTAGCCCTGACTGTTGCAGGCATCTGTGGAGTGAACCAAGGAATGGAAGATTCTCTCTCTCTCTCTCTCTCTCTCTCTCTCTCTCTCTCTCTCTCCCTCTCTTCATCCTTCACTTCCTCATTCCCTCCCTCTTTCTGTCACTCTTTCAAATAGACTTCAAAAACTAATTTTTTTTTTTAAATCTACAAACCCATTTCATTTAAACACTTTTAGGAGTGACGTATACCATCCGTCTGACCAGTGTTCTCTGTGTGTGGGAGCTAATTAGGTTTAGGTGAGGCCCTGAGACAGGGGCCCCCACGATGGGAGTGGTGGCCTTCGAAGAGCAGGAGGAGACTAGAGTGCCCTCTGCTGGCCACGTGAGGATACAGGCTGAAAGCCCAGAAGCAGAGTCTCCAACAGATCTGGGGTGGGCGTCAGCCTCTAGAACTGCAAGCAATGTTTGTTGTTTAAACCACCAAGACTATGCTACTTTTGCCACAGAAGCCTGAACTAAGACACTTATACATAGACTATAACAAAGTTATATTCTAACTTTGGTTTTAACTTTCTGGAATTTAGAGCATGAATAACTACAAAATACAACGTTCTTGTTGATTTCAGTTCATTTGTAGGCATATACATAGATTTCCCACTGTGATTTTTCCCAATGACTGTAATATCCCCTTAATATCTTTTTATTCAGCCAACACGGGGATATTTTTACTGCCCCGGGATGCTGAAGTGTAAAATGTACTGAGCTCAGAAAGGACCACTGCCCGCAGAAAGTGCCGGATTGTTAGCCTGCCCTCCCAGCTGCACGTGCATAGTCACGCGGCAATCCGAACACTGAGACAGGTGAGAAGCGGGTGGTATTTTTAAGCACGGCTTGATTTATATACTAAGTTACGAGTACTCTCAATGCTTTGCATCATCAGTCTGTGGTGTGGGGGTAGCTGAAATGAAGCCATCACAGCTAGACCCCGGTTGCAAAGGGTCCGAGCTGTGAGGGGATGCCTCTCTCGATGCTGGAAGGGCCTAACCCGCTGTTCTCGGGACACTTACGATGAACCTTCCAGTTTTGTTAGAACAGCCGTAAAGCCGAGGAGGATGGTCTTCAGCCTGGGTTTCCAGCAGTGGTGACGTCTGGTAATCTTTTTCCCCTCCGAGAGCATCCCAAAACTCCTCTGTGGAAGACACACGGGCTTAGCGAGTGCCCATCCAGATGCATAGTGTGTTACCCTTTCCCGTTAACAGATAAGTATCTCACTTTGACTTCAATGTTAACAAATTATTTAGGTATACCAGATAGCATTATCCACTTTTGCAACTGACAGAGGGATTCTTAACCCTTACAAAACCCATCCAACAGTGACTAAGACAAACACTGATTTGCAGGTGTGGCCAATGTAAATGCCGGCTAGTGTCCAGGGTCCCAGAGCACACACCTGGCTCCTCGCCTTCCTGAATCCTGGAGGCATCGCACTGGAGGACACCTGCCACGTACTCCGCACCCTTCTCCTCCTCCGAGCTGGAACCTTTTCCGATCCAGATGTAGCCGTTGTTTTGTTGCAGTTTCAGGACAAAAACGTCGTTGGAATTCAATGAACTCGCATCAACATCAACCTAGAGTATATCAGAAAAACACACAATGGTTCAAATTCTTTGCTGCTCTTTCAATATATGTATTGAAGTTAGAAGTTGCGACTGTGACAAACCATCCACAGCCTTCTGCTCTATTACAAGAAATCAGTTCGCTGCAGCAAGGGACACCAGCATGGTGTTTGAAACACTGGGGCAGGGTCTGCGTCGTTTTAATTCTCAGCTGACCTCAGAGAGTAGCACAAGGCTCTAAGAGCAAAATTAGTCAAGCACGGCTGGCGCTGTGGCGCAGCGGGTTAAGCTGCCGCCTGCAATGCCGGCATCCTATATGGGCTCCGGTTCGAGTCCTGGCTGTTCCATGTCCGATCCAGCTCTCTGCTAGGCCTGGGAACACAGTGGAAGATGGCCCAAGTCCTTGGGCCCCTGCCACCCACATAGGAGACACAGATGGAGTTCCAGGCTCCTGGCTTTGGCCTGGCCCAGCCCTGGCAAGTGTGGCTGTTTGGTGAAAGGTAAAAGAACCAGCAGATGGAAGATCTCTCTCTCTCTCTCTCTCTCTAACTCTGCTTTTCAAACAAAGAAGGTCAAACCTTTAAAACTTAGTTAAATGATAAGTGGAAAAGTAAGGAGGACAGCACGCGTGGGCTGGAACCCACGACCTGGAAGAGGGCGTAGCATTCGCGAAGGACGCACATGAAGCAAGATGCTGTCTGGTTCTTGTGTGGAAAAGAGATGTTTTCAAACAATCACAGGGAAATCTAAAAAAAAAAAAAATCATAAAACGTGGACTGAAGTCCAATGGAAGCAGAGGATAATACCACAGATTCCCGCAAAGGTTCCTCAGGTTTGGCTAAATGATAGCTCAAATTATGAAAGGCATTGTGCAGGGGGTTAAGAACAAACCGTGACAACGGTTTTCTTCCAATGGAGAAGCTGTGGACATCACTTGGGGTCTGCCGGTGGAATCCAGTGCTGCCCGTGTGGTTGCAGAGCCGTGACAGGGACCCAGCTGGCTGAGTGAGGCTGAAGGCAGCCCTTGGGAGCCAAGGAAAGACACGCACAGTCTCCTGCGGCTCCTGGGGATTCTGTGGCTCTGTTTCTAGAACATGTGTGACCACACACTTGTGTGCAATGACTGGGGGGCACACTGCAGGGAGAGGAAGGAGAGCCGCTCTGCAAGGCTGAGTGGGAGGAGGAAAAGATGACAGTGCCGAGGCAGTGAGGCCGGAAGTGAAGACGACGGCAGCGGGATCGTGGTGCCCAAACAAGCTGCTTGGCTCACTGCACTGACAGCCAGGACTGCGCCAGTGGGAACGCCACAGGAAGAAAGACACAGGGCCCCGGGGTTGGTCACACTAGGGGAGGGGCTCACAGCCCTCCCAGGAGGACTGCGGCATCTGAGAGCCTGTTCAGAGGCGTCTGGCAGGTGTGCTGATGGGGAGGACGGGCCGCAGGTTGGGCTTGAGGCCTTCTGATTTCTGGTCCACAGGTCTCCTTACTGATCCAGAGGACAGAGCGGGATGCAGGGGGAGAAGTGGCCCAGAGATCCGTGCCCAGGCTAGCATGAGATCAGGGAGGAAGATCTAAAATGGAACCTTTATAAAGCTCTGGCCTGCAGGGGATGAAAACAGGCTCTTTATAAAAATGAGGTTGACTCATGCATTTCAGAGAGGCTGCAAGGAAATACGGCTTGCAAGCAACTGATGACGTCCCCTAGAGACGCCCACAGAGGAAGGTTCAGGACAGTGCGCTCTGGCTAGCTCCTGCACCTGAAATCACCCGAGCGCCCACAGATGAGAGCTTAACTGTCGAGTGCAGAGTAGAAAGAAACAGGATTAGACAATGGAGAATCTATGCACAGAACGTTTGGGATGAGATGAATACTTCCACTGCCGTTTAAGACACCTGCCTGAATGAAATCAGTATGAAGAGGGTCAAGACCGAGCCCTGGAACAGCCAAGCACATCCACGGCTTGCAGACCAGAGGACCCAGCCAAGCTGCCCCGCAGGGCTGGCCCGGAGGTTTGCAGGAAATCCTGGGGAGTGTGGTGTTACACTCCGTTCACCGAGGCAGGAAAGGTCGACTGTGCCAAGCCTTGGTGGGCAGTTAAGAGGAATGAGGTCAGAGAAGCAACTTTTGATGGTGGTTAAGAGGCGAGTCATTGGCCAACCAGAGAAAACCGGCCTCGGTGGAGTGGTGGGAGTCAACAGCTGAACTGGAGCAGCAGCAGACAGAAGGGGCTTAGGAAAGTAGACAGTGAGTGAGCGAGGTCGACTCTCAAGGATCTGTGCTCCCAAGATGGGTGGAAAATGACATGGTGACTGGGGATGGCTGAGGTCAAGGGCAGGAGACAGTGATGCAGTCGCACGCAGGACAGAAGAATAAGTCCACGCCGCATAAGAGAAAGACGCGTATTGCCTTCATCAGGATGAACTGACGTGGGATAAATGTATGCAAAAGACAGAATCCCAGGAAAGACCTTAGGAAAGCAAGAGAGGAGGAGATCCAGGAAAGAAGCTGGTGGTGGGCGGTGGGGGTAGGTGGGTAGAATTTGGCTTTTGAGAGAAGCTGTATTTTTTATTCCATGTAATAAACATTTATTATTTATGGGTGTATCTCTTTATATAAGTATATTATTACTAATTTCTGGCTAATATATTGATGTTAATGTCTAAAATATTCATTATCTATATGTATAAATTCCTAATATAGGGCCGGTGCCGCAGCTCAATAGGCTAATCCTCCGCCTAGCGGTGCCGGCACACCGGGTTCTAGTCCCGGTCAGGGCGCCGGATTCTGTCCCGGTTGCTCCTCTTCCAGTCCAGCTCTCTGCTGTGGCCCAGGAGTGCAGTGGAGGATGGCCCAAGTACTTGGGCCCTGCACCCCATGGGAGACCAGGAGAAGCACCTGGCTCCTGGCTCCTGCCATCGGATCAGCGCAGTGCGCCGGCCACAGCGGCCATTGGAGGGTGAACCAACGGCAAAGGAAGGCCTCTCTGTCTCTCTCTCTCTTACTGTCCATTCTGCCTGTCAAAAATTAAAAAAAAAATCCCTAATATAAAATATATACTAATTTTTAAATATAAATTATAGTTTTAAATTTATTTTGTACAACAAGGGGGAAAGGGAGTGTAGTACTGTACAGATTCCTACAAGCTGGTGGCATGGCAGGGGAGCAGGTGAGGTGACTCCTGTGAGAGTCTGTTCCTGTCCTCTGAATTATGAATCAGTTACCTGCAGGCAGCAGGGGTGCTGCGAGCTGGAGAAGGGGAGGGGAAGGGCATGATGGTGTGGGGAGGAGAAGTTTCTTAGCTTCAGCTGCAGGTGCAGAATTTCTGGACTGTGTGTGCTGGGCACAGTAGCCAAGGAAAAGGAGAGGGCTGTCAGAAATCAGATGACCTATTTCATAGGAGCCGTAACTATCGCTAGAGGCCGAATTTAGCACAGGACCACGCGAGAGCGTGATGGAATGAGGTCAAGGAAAACTGCTGGAGGAGAGAAGGCAGAGAGATGGAGAAAGTGAGACGATGGCGGAAGTCATCAAAGAACAAGCGGGCAAGGACCAGGAGCTCCGTAGATTGCAGCACCTGAGAGTGGGGGCACAGCTGGACAAGCAGGAGATGCACCAAAGAGGCAAGGGTGGGAGAGGAGGGCAGCTGTCCAGCTCCGCACCTGTCACCACGATGCTAAGTGGGCAGGGAGGGAAACCACGCCTTCCACGGGAAGGGGCTGTATGCAAATCTGTGCCTGCTACCCCTAATCCATCTACCCCAGCCAGGCCTTTCCAGAGAGAGCGAAAGCTGCCTCATGTCCTGGACAGCTTGTTTTGTTAATCTTAGAACTCATTTGTTTGGATTTGAAGTCACTTTAATATGAGATGCCCAGTATCTGGAGTTCAACTTTTATTCAACTGTTCTTGGGGTTTTTCTTTTTTCTCTTGTGAACAGTGGATAATTTGACTCAGGTCTGCTGGGAAGTCTACAACGAGGGCATGTGTGACTGATTGCGTAACATTACCTCCATAATTCTGGTGATAGAGGCCAGATTTCTCCGGACTTGAAAGAGGCGAACAGGGGCAGCAGGTGCCTGACCTCCTTCCTTTGATGTTCCATTCTTGTAAATAATGAGGGGCTTTTCTTTGAATAAACTCAGCAGGTGCGCAGGCTCTTTTCCTTGGGACACTCGGACCTGGGGGTGGAGGGGAGGTGAATAAAAGAAATATAATCCAGAGTGCAATAAAAGATGGCTGCATGTCTAAATGTGTTCTTATTTTTCTTTCTGCAAACAAAGGTGTGGCCTAGTGGCCAAGATGCCTGTGTCCCACACTGGACTGCCTGAATCTGATTCGGAGTTCTGGCTCCTGACTCCAGGTTCCTGCTAATGTGTAGTCCCTGGGAGACAGCCATGATGGCTCAATAGGCGGGCTCCAGCCACCTCCACGGAGATGTAAATTGAGTCCCCAACTCCCAAATTCAGTCCCAGGCGAGTTCTGGCCATTGTGAGCATTTGGGAAGTGAGCCAACTGATGAGAGTTCTCTCTTGTTTTAATTCTCTTTCTTTCTCTCAAATAAATGCAGATTTAAAAAGCAAAACAAGCCAAAAATGAACAAAAAAGGCAAGAACAGAAGGAATAACAATCAACGGAAAATACAGGTTACTGATAATCAAGCCGTTTCCTTGGTGACCTAAGAACATTGTGTTACCTGGGACAGAGCATCCCTGAGTAGCTTCTTGCCAAGGGGCAGCACTGCCAAACTGCCAAGCCGTGTGCTTTCAGAAGGCAGGGGGATGTGAACTTGCTCATCAGCATCTCCGAAGGAGAAAAAGCAGAGAGCAAAGTGCTAGCATCTGCAACCTGATGTGAAAATCTCTCTGCTTTCCAGAGCATCAGCATTTCAGAGCTGGCTACACAGGTCCTAGATTCTTATGTGTTTTGGGTCTGGCTCGAAAGCTTAAGACATTTGTGTTCAAATGCTTCAAAAAGTAAACAAAATCATACTCATTATTTCTTGACTCCCACATTTGTGAGGTGAAAATAGACTGCTATCCAAAATCAAAAGCTGGCAAAGCAATTGAATATATATATTTCCTATTTTTAACTTATGTACAGAAATGGTAATAGCAGATAAGCTCAATATAAGAAACTTACTTTTCACATAATCCAGGGACTTTTTTTGAGTGAGAAGATTGAGGGAAATAGTAAATGATTTGCTGGTTTCACTTATTCACATAAAATATTGGATTAGAATTTTCTGTTTCTTTTATTAACTCCTGACCACCCCCCCCTTTTTTTTTTGGACAGGCAGAATGGACAGTGAGAGAGAGAGAGAGAAAGGTCTTCCTTTGCCGTTGGTTCACCCTCCAATGGCCACTGCGGCCAGCGCGCTGCGGCCAGCGCACCGCGCTGATCCGAAGCCAGGAGCCAGGTGCTTTTCCTGGTCTCCCGTGGGGTGCAGGGCCCAAGGACTTGGGCCATCCTCCACTGCACTCCCTGGCCACAGCAGAGAGCTGGCCTGGAAGAGGGGCAACTGGGACAGAATCCGGCGCCCCGACCAGGACTAGAACCTGGTGTGCTGGTGCCGCTAGGCGGAGGATTAGCCTATGCTCCTGACCCCTTTTTATATCAACAGTTCAAATACTGTGATAGTTCCCTATTTGTTTCCCATTTTTCCTGCCCTATGCTAAAACTGGACTGTCTCTCCTACTCTGGTCTTTTTCCAGAAGCTGTGGAATGCTGATGAACATACTCTTCTATTAAGGCCTAGGGAGCCTTGAAACTAATGCACTTCATACAGATGTTTCAATTAGTAGGCACTCAAGTAGTGAGCAGTAAGTTATGAAAATGTTTTTCCAGGCACAGACCCAGAGACTGGGGTGGGAGCAGGAGAGCATAGCAGTTCACATACACAGAGAAAACTTCAGCCAACATAAGAAAAACCACTGATGAAAGCCCATCCCCTACCGTGAAAACAGAATGAGAGAATGAAAGTGTAAGTTAAAAACATCTCAATAATGTTAATTTGCTCGGCAAAGGAAATGTAAAGAACAACTATTACAAGACTTTAGATTTTTATGCGTTATTGTACATTATTGCCATCTAGTGATAAAACTAAAAATTACCACTTCACTTTTTAATTTTTGATTCAAGTAACAATTCATGGGATTTCATTAATTGGGTATATTGAACATTCCATTATGAAATATGTGTGAAGTGAGTACATATCTACAAGTTCTGAATAATTTGATGAGGAATACTTTAAATATCAACTAAATGGCACAGATGACGTCGGCTTGCTGGAAATATTTCATTCAGGAAATGAACATAATATTTCATGGGGAGATAGTTGAGTGCATTTAAAGAACTCAATCATCTGGTTAATTTGATAATTCATGATTGATGGGTTAAAGCATAAAAACCATAGAGCACACTTTCACATTGAGATCTAACTGGCATGATGAATCTATCACCAAGGGCCAGAGTAGAAAGCTAGCCTGGGCTCCTCAGCCTACAGGTGTACGTTCTAAAGCATCTGACTGCCCTCTAGCCCGTGCAATTCTCCACTTATAAAGATCAGGGAAAAAAGAAAAACGAAAAACAAAGAAAACAGAAAAATGCATATGCTATGTACAAGTAAAGCCTTCACGTATTTGACAGGAGGCATGAGGGACTTTGACACAAGCACATAAAGGTGATGTTTAAGGCGTTTGTATCAGAAATTGTACCGGTGGCCGGCGCCATGGCTCACTTGGCTAATCCTCCACCTGTGGTGCCGGCACCCCGGGTTCTAGTCCCGGTTGGGGCACCGGATTCTGTCCCAGTTGCTCCTCTTCCAGTCCAGCTCTCTGCTGTGGCCTGGGAAGGCAGTGGAGGATGGCCCAAGTCCTTGGGCCCTGCACCCCATGGGAGACCAGGAGGAAACACCTGGCTCCTAGCTTTGGATTGGTGCAGTGCCGGCTGTAGCGGCCCTTTGCAGGGTGAACCAAGGAAAAAGAAGACCTCTCCCTCTCTCTCTTTCTCTAACTCTGCCTGTCCAAAAAAAAAAAAAAGAAGAAGAAGAAGAAGTTGTACTGGCTGAATGATTTTTTAAAAAAATATTTATTTATTTATTTATTTGGCAGAGAGACAGAGAGGAAGGGAGGGAGACGGGGAGAGAGGGGAGGTGGGAGAGAGAATGAATCAGAATCCCATCCATGGGACTTCCTAAATGCCTGGGGCCAGGCCTGAAACCAGGAGCCAGAACTCAGCCCAGGTCTGCCACGTTGGGGGCAGGAACCCACCTACTCTGAGCCATCACCTGCTGGGAGGAAGATGTAGCCTGGAGCTGGGCCAGGAGTGAAACACAGGCACTCTGGGCCAGGACAGGGACATCCCAGCAGGAATCCCAACTGCTAGGCCAAACGCCCGCCCCACGCTTTCAGTTTGAACTGTGATCTGGAATTCACTTTCCCAGCACATAGGAATACAAGTCTTACCACAAATGGCCAGCAAACACACCCAGGTGGTAAGGGGAGCAGCAAGTGAGCACACACACACACGCGCGCACACACACACACAGAGACCTCACGGCAGCTTTGGGCTTCAGGGACGAGGACCAAGCAGTGCCACTGCTGGGATGAAGGAGATGGCAGACGCACTGGGGGCAGTTTCCCTGTGGTCTGTGCTGCCCTTGCACAGCAAGGAATTCCACAAAACCCGAAAACGTGCGTGATTACTAATAAGGGCCTGAAACAAGCAGCAGGTGCTCCACAAACATCTAGGATGAGGAGCAGTGGAGCTGAGCGAGGACCAGGGAAGGCTGCAGCCCGCTGCCCACAGCCTGCGAGGCGCAGGAGCGGAGCCCAGACTACACAGGGAGGGTGCCTGGCATTCCAACTTCTCCAAGGAACAAATCAGCCCCTTACCCCTGCCTGCCCCTCCCAGTGTGTCCACGGCAACGGTCCATGTGTATTCACACAGAACTGTCCTTTGGAACGGGCTTCAGTCATTCCTAACAAGTCACAGTTTGCATTTTCAGCGCTACCCAGCGAATCCATCTCTCTCTCCTCCCTCTCATCACCCTCTCTAGTCCCATCCTCTTCTCTCTTCCTCCTCTCCCCTTCATTCTTCCTGATGACTTCCCCTCCTTGCCTCTTCCCTACTCTTCTCCTCTACCTCCCTCCTCTCCCCTCCCTTCTCCCTCTGCTTTCTCTTCCCTCCCTTTTCCTCCCATTTCCGTCCTCATTCTCCTCCTCCACTTCCCCCTCCCTTGTGGGTGTTGGGGTTTCTGTCAAGATTCTGGTATCCAAACCAGGGTCCATGCTTTCTTGTCAAGGTTTACTTCCGTTTGCCTGTGCAAATCCTAGCTTCGGCACTGCTGACTTGAGAGTGTGCACAAAGCTGCTCCACTCTTTCACCCACTGGAATAAGCAATCTGGGCTTATTCCGTACCACTGCTTTTATTTCTTACTGCTGATATGACATGATTTCAGAGGCTTAAGATGGAAAAATGCTGCTATGTTATTCTCAAGGTGAGAAGTCCTCCGTAGGTTCCCAGGCTAATTTAATCCTGGGCTAAATCTGGGGCAATGCTTTGGTCACTAGGCCAAAATCCTGGAACACCTCCAGCAGTGGCTCCACTGTCTTGCCTCTTCCAGCCTCTGCAAGCTGCCCATGCTCCCTGCTGGGGACCTTGCCCATCATCAAAGCCCACAACAGCCAGCGGAGTCCTGTTCACACCACACCCCTACAGCTCTTCCTGTTTTACCTGTAAGGACCCTGTGATGACATTGGGCTGCCCAGCGAGCCCAGACAACCTCTCTACTTGAAGATCTGCTCACGAGCAACCTTGATTCCATCTGCAATCTCATCCTCCTTTGCCTTGTAACATAACACACTCGCAGGTTCTGAGGAGCAGGCCATGAACTTCTTGGGGGCACTGCTCTGCCTGCCACGTCTGTTTAATAACAACTACAAATGGTAACACAGGAAGAACATTGATTATAATCAATGCCAAGTGACTGTCACTGACGCATGGTGTGACACCGACTGGAAGATTCTTTGGGACTCTTAAATATGTTAGTAGCTATTTTAAGTTTATTTAAGAGGCAGAGAGATGGCTCCCATCTAGTGGTTTATTTCTAAAATGCCCTCAATGGCTGAGCCTGAGCCGGGTCTGAAGCTGGGAGCCGGCGACTCAATCCAGCTCTTGCAGGAACCCCAGCTACTTGAGCCACCACTTGTGCCTCCCAGGGTCAGCATTAGCAGGAAGCTGGCGGCAGGAGCAAGAGCCAGGAATCCAACCCAGGCTCTCTAACATGGGATGTAGGTGTCTCAACCTCCGGGCCAAACGCCCAACTCTGTAATAGGTTTTCGCTTCATTTATGTTCACTCCTTTTCCAGAATCTGAGAAAAGTAGTATGGCATAAGAGTGGGAATATTCAAATTGCAAAATGAAAAAACAATATTCAGAAAATGTCAAATTCCCATTGCAACTTTAGAGGGAAGCTTTAGCGAGGCACTGCAATAGCAAAACTTTCATGTGTGGGTTTTGGGATAAAAATATTCCAACCTGCACAGCCTGTCCTCCAAGGGAACGATCCAACTGAACAGTCAGGAACGCAGATGTTGTCAGCTCGTCTCTCGTGGCATTTGCTCCCTGCCTAGAGGAATCACAGTAAAATACATTTGCTTGTATTTAACTTGGAAGAACTTCTCATATAGGCTTTTTTAAAATTATTTATTTATTTGAGAGGCAGAGACATGGAGAAAGAGAGACACAGAAAGAAAGCTTCCGTCTACTAGTTTACTCCCCAAATGTCTGCAAGGGCCAGGGTTGGACATGGCTGGAGTTGCAGCCCAGATTGCAATCCAGGTCTCTCACTTGGTGGGGGCAGGAACCCAATTTCTTGAGCAATTACCACTGCCTCCCAGAGTCTGCATTAGCAGGAAGCTGGAGTCAGGAGTTAGAGCCAAAATATGAACCAGGAAGTCTGATAATGGGACATGGGTGTCTTAACCACTAGGCTAACTATTTGTTTTTCGTGTAGGTTTTCAAGCAGAGGCCTGAGTTACTGTGAAAGATCAAGAAGAAAACAACTGCTTCAACAAGACATGAGCAGTCAAAGCTATTGTTCTTTTGAAAGCACTAACACTTAGCCATGACCTGTCCTGTGTATTTTCTAGAGCTATGTATGGCTGGCATTTTCATCTTCATTTTAAAGGAAGTAGGCGTTAGCTCCTTATATAACTTAGCTAAGGAACCAGTTCTGGCTGATTCCAAGGTAGAGCTCCCTATTTTTGGGAAATCATCTCCATAGTGAAAATACCCATCTGAGTGTGAGAGGTAGAGACAAACCTACTGGCTGGAGATTGGAAGCATTTTATCTGTGTAAGAATATTTGATGAGCACAGAGCCAAATATTAGAATCCAGAAAAGTAAAAAAAAAAATCATCTAAAACAGGACACAGAAAGGCTTCATTTTGTCATCCTTTCAATTCTGTGGGAATGAGAGCTGCAACCTGAGGCTAAGCCATCTGGACCCACCTGAGGGTCAATAAATAAATGTGTCCTGTTCATTTGGGACTCCTCTGTCCAGGGTAGCTCATGGCTATAACTAGTATCACTTTGACCTGTGGAGCAACCTTTGATAGATCTCTCTGATCCAGGAATCTGTCGGCAGAAAAAAAAGTCAACCAAAACAAAACTACCCCAATAGCCTCAGAATTCAGTGAGCATTATTTGTTTTTAGCCAACATTTCCCATCTCTCTCTGATTCAGGGTTAGCAGCAGGAACACTAAACTTTAAAATAGATTTTAAAGTTAACTATGTTTTCTTCTGAAACCTTGATACTAAGCTGTTCCATACTCAGAACAGATTAAAATAACCTACCCTTCTGGGCTGCACACACACACACACACATGCACACAGAGGAGGGTACATGCTGTAATTATCTCAGAATGTGTGACTGGACCAGAATAGGCCAATGATTGGTGTAAAAATGTTCTATAGAGGAGCCAGGGCTGTGGTACAGTGGTCAAGCTACTGCATGCAGTGCCAGCATCCCATGTGGATGCCGGTTCGAGTCCCAGTTGCTCCACTTCTGATCCAGCTTTCCGCTATGAACCTGGGAAAGCCAGTCTTCAATAGATTCTATTTTCTAAATGCCTCTTAATGCATCTTTACCATGTTTATGGAAGATTGTGTAGTTCCACAAACCATGTAACATGAATAAACTTACATACTTAACATTTAATGATTTTAAATGCCAAAGATACAAAAAAGAATTAAGTATCTCTTGGGGATGGTGCTGTGGCGCAGTGAGTTAATGCCCTGGCCTGAAGTGCTGGCATCCCATATGGGCGCCGGTTCTGGTCCTGGCTGCTCCTCTTCCGATCCAGCTCTCTGCTATGGCCTGGGAAAGCAGTAGAAGATGGCCCAACTCCTTGGGCCCCTGTACCCGCATAAGAGACCCAGAAGAAGCTCCTGGCTCCTGGCTTCGAATTGGCACAGCTCTGGCTGTTGTGGTCAATTGGGGAGTGAACCAGCAGATGGAAGACCTCGCTTTCTCTCTCTCTCTCTCTCTCTCTCTCTCTCTCTCTCTCTCTTTCTCTCTCTACCTCTCCTCTCTCTGTGTAACTCTGACTTTCAAATAAAGAAATAAATCTTAAAAAAAGAATTAAGTATCTCGATATCTGAAAAACATATAGATTCTCATCATAGAAAGATTCAACACTTAAAAACGGAGGAAGACAACTAAACTACTGAGCCTCCAGTCTCCTCCTAGAGATGGTAACTGTCAACAGTGTGGTCTTCCTTCCCCCGTGAATTGCTCATGATGGGGCTGAACTTGTCCTCAACAAATGGGCCACTGCCCACACAGCACCTGGACTAGAAACCTGGGGTCACCCTCAACTTTGTCATCTTCTCTGCTCCCCAGAGCCAGTCTCTGCAATGCCAACTCTTTATCAGGTTGCAAACTTGTCCATTCCTTTCCATCCTCATTGTCACATTATTCAGCCAGACTGCTGTGAGAAATTCCCAATGGTCCCTCTCCCTCATTACGACAATGATGTACATTAGGCCTTGGGAGTCCCACCACCCAAGATTCTGATGTGTTTACTGCAGGGTGAAAGCTTTTGGAGATAAGAAAAATCGTGCAGGTTATTACAGACTGCGCAGCTAGTGTTTAGGACCCTGCCTAAGGCGGTACCTGCCAGTCATTCAAGTGTGTGTGAATCACTGTGTTGGTATTTTTTTTTTTTTTTTTGACAGGCAGAGTGGACAGTGAGAGAGAGAGACAGAGAGAAAGGTCTTCTTTTTGCCATTGGTTCACCCTCCAATGGCCGCTGTGGCCGGCACACTGCGCTGATCCGATGGCGGGAGCCAGGTACTTATCCTGGTCTCCCATGGGGTGCAGGGCCCAAGCACCTGGGCCATCCTCCACTGCACTGGCCATAGCAGAGAGCTGGCCTGGAAGAGGGGCAACCGGGACAGAATCCGGCGCCCCGACCGGGACTAGAACCTGGTGTGCTGGCGCCGCTAGGCGGAGGATTAGCCTAGTGAGCCGCGGCGCCGGCCACACTGTGTGGTCTTGTTAAAGGGAAGATGGCCTTAGTGGGCCCAGGGTGGGGCCTGAGTGTATCTCTAACAAGCTCCCAAGAGGTATCAAGGTCTCTGGATGCTGGACCACCCTTTGGGTACCAAATTGTCTTCTTCAGCTTGGTTGGGCTCAAGGCACTGGGCATTTCAGTGTCCAGATTGTGGGGATGGATGTGCCTCTGTTACCGACCTGATTACAGGTACACTTGACACATATACTGTAGACTGTCATGTTCTTATAAGCAGAAGCAGGATCCTTCCCTGCCTTGTGCCTACCACACACAGATCTCAGCTTTAAGATCTTTTCTGAGAGCCTGTTTTTTCCAGTGCTCTCAGCAATATTCTATTTCTCTTGATCTCATACAATAAATGGAGAATGCCAGAATACATCATTTGTTGCAGGATTCCTAGCCCTTGAGATGGGCCAGTGTAGTAGATGCACTTAAATGACTCCGCTGAACACTGGTCCTTCCTCCTTGGGCAAGGCTGTTGTTATGCTGATTCTAAGTAAATCTAAACTTTAGTTACAAATCAAATCATTACACCAAACCATGTGAGATAGGGATCCAAGTGTTCTGGAATATTTTCTCTATTATTGTGAATTTCAAAGGGATAAAGAGTAAGGACCCATCCATTTGATGTCTCTGGTGCAGGCAATGGAATCACAAATTATATCCCTGCAGGTTTTTTTTTTTACTTTACTGCAACTTTGCAGCTCCAGTCAATACGGACCTCAGTGATAACATAAGATGAGACTGTACCCAATCCTGGCCACTGGAGCATTAGTCTGCACAAAAGGTGAGACATTTAACTACTTGTTCACCAAGAGAACTCTACTATTTAGGACATCTAAACTTTTTTCCTGGACTATAGAGGGAAAACTTTAATATCTGCTTGTGGAGAGCAGGTACAAAATATAGTAAAAATAATGTCAAAAACACTATATGAATGCTACACGAATCTCACCCATCCTGCATGGAATTTATTATTTTGGAAAAAACTCTGGCTTTGTCAAACTTGAGCTCTTGTGAAGGCGGTGAACTTACCATGTGTAGATAATCTGTCCTCTGGGGTAAGTGTATAGGATAATGTAGCAGTCACCGCCGTAGAATTCACCATATGAATCTGGATCCACTTGAACCCTACCATTGCTTTCTACACGCCAAATCTGACAGGGATGGGATATATAGACAAAGGTTAAAATCTGATTTATCTAACAATATTTCTCATAGCTTTAAATAATCTTTGATTTAGACTGATCATTAAACAACTTCAAATTATTTTTCTATTTAGTTTATAAATCATTTACAGGGAAGACATTTTTATCAATTTGGCAAGTTCTTATGTTGACTTTTTAAGTGCTTATATTTCTTTTTGCTTCTTCTGCAGTATTTACCTCAGTCTGGCCTGTAGCTTAATAAATGCCTATTATTTGATCAATCTATGAAAATAACATGACACTTGAGTGGAATAATGAATTCAATATTAAGCTCAGGAATATATTCCTTAACAATATAGGAAAGGTTTTTCACCAGTTGTGAAATAATATATGTATTTTTCCCTCTCCCTGTGTGATAAGATATGAACCTATTCTTTTCCCAGGTGAGAGCTGGTAACTGTGATCAAATAACAAAGACGATGCAACTGTCTGAATGTCTGTGAAATCCTACCCCCAACATAATGGCATTAGGAAGTGAGGTTTGGGAGGTTATGAGGGTGGAGCCCACATGAATAGGATTAGTGCCCTTATAAAAGGGGCCCAGAGAGTTCTCTGGTTCCTTGTCTACCTTATAAGGACACAAGAAAAAGTCAGCCGTCCATGACCTAGGAAGCAGGTCCCCATTAAACACCAAACCTATCAAACCCCAACCTTAGCCTTCCCAGCCTCGAGAACTGTGAGAAATAAATGTTGCTTAAGCCCCCCACTATGGTTTTATGCTGTAAAGTAGGTAAATACCTCCACTTCCCCAGAACCATCATCGACCATGTTATGCTGGGCAGCCATCTGTGGAGAACTATGCAACTGTGAGGCATCAAACGGAATTTGTTCTATGCGGGCCACCTTCTCTGTGACATACACTTTCCCAAAGCCATCACTCTGGTCTTTGTCTTTCCAGTCCTTAAAGAATTGCTTGAAAATTGGTGTTTCTCCTCCTTCTGGAAGAACCTGAATCTGAAATTTAAAACAGTAGTAGCAAACAGGAAGAGAAGAGATTGAGGTAAAACATGACTAGTAGAGGAAGAACTAAGTAAATAAGAAGATTGTCTTGGTTTCTGCAATTGCAGATGTGAGTTTAGACACCAGGAAGCTAAGATAATCCAGCTCTGCTTTTCTTATAACTGAAGTCATTGCCATAGAATTTGAATAAGATCAAGGTTAAGAATAAGGTTCTTTCATCTGTTACCACAGCAGAAAAGTGAATTTGTCTGTCTTTCTACATTAGGTTCACCACGGAACTTGACCTGGGAGAAATTATCTCATGGTGTTACTTAAGTCAGGACACAAAAATGAGAAACACACGTGGGGCTGGCTGGGAGATTCAGAAAGGAAAAGAGTAACTCGCCAGTGTCTAAGCTGATCTTGATGATGGCAAATATTATCTGAGTGTTGGCCCACATCTGCATAGCTTGCTCTAAGGAATGACTGACAAGTGCTTAGTCAGCTCTGGCTGATCCTGTTGAATTGAAGGCTGTGGAGGAAGTGAGTGTGCTCTTTTCCTCGTCTGGCAGCCCTACGGCAGCCCTATGTTGGCTGATCTCAGTTTCTGCAAAAATTCCATCCCCCAACAGTTACAGTGGGAAGGACAGGTGACGTGACTGCGCACTGGAGAACGACTCCACGTGGTTGTGATACTTTGAACCCAGTCCTTTCAGGAGTTTTGTGGGGTGTCAGGCACTCCCACGTTTTAAATGCCTTTCTGTCCAGCTCATTTTTATGCATACTTGGGTATTTCTGGGATAATTCATTTGCTCAAGGAATTCTTCAGCTGTCTTCATTGCAGCCCTCCTCTCCTGGGGGTTGGCATCTTTACCTGAAATACAAGGTAAATCAAAGAATTCTAGAAAGGGAGATATGATAGGATTAAGAGACATTTATGTATCAAAACTGAAGTTATAGTTTAATGTAAATATTACACTGACAGAACGTCAACATTTTCCTATTATGGTAGCACTGTGCTGTAGCAGGTAGAGCTGCTGACTGAGACTCCATTTGGGCACTGGTTTGTGTCCCTGCTGCTTCACTTCTGCTTCAGCTCTCTGTTAATGTTCCTGGGAAAGCAGTAGAAGATGGCCCAAGTCCTTGGGCCCCTGATTCCACATGTGAGACCCAGATGAAGCTCCTGGCTCCTGGCTTCAACCTGTCATAGCCCCAGCTGTTGCAGCTATCTGGGGAGTGAACCAGCAGATGGAAGATGAATATCTCTCTTTCTCTCTAACTCTGACTTTCAAATAAACAAATCATCTTTTAAAAAAGTTCCTATTATGTTAGATACATATAACAACACAGTAATGAATGGTATCTATTAAAAATCATTTTCAAAATGCTTTATATAACACAACCCCTGGTAAATGATGCTAGCGGGAGAGAAATAGCTGAATTTTGTGTGAGATACTCACAGAACAAATCTGAAAAGGTAGAGTTTTTGTTTGTGCTTTGAGATGCAGAAGTAGAGAGAGGGAGAGAGAGAGAGGGAGGAAGAGAGAGAGAGAAGGAGGGAGAGGGAGACAGAGAGGAGAGAGCGCGCTCCCACCCATTGGTTCACTTCCCAAATGTCTGTGGTGGCAAGGGAAGGGCTCGGCCAAGGCTGGGCTGCAGCCAAGCTGGGGCCAGAGCTGAAGCTGAGCATTGAGCCCAGGTACTCCAGTATGACATGCGGGCGTCTCAACTGCTGGGCTAAACACCGACCTCAGGTAGCCTTTCTCTTTTTTAAATCTTCAAAGATATTTTCTCTACCCTTCTGAGGAAATATCTATACGCTGGAAATGTATACTCTCTACTATATATTGGAAATGCAGCAATAATGCCAATGGCATCCTTACCTTTCCATACAAAAATCTGTTTTGCAGCACCATAGTCCAAAATGAAGCATTCTTCAGAAAGCAGCATCGCCATGGAAAAGGGGTTTTCTTCAGCCACCACAGTCACTTTCATGGCTCCACTCGCATCTGAAACCTGATGTGAAAACCGTGAACTCCATGGTTTGCTTTGGGATGATTCAAATATTCAAAAATTAGATCGAGGTAATGTTTGCACAACTCTGTACATGTAATAAAAAACTACTGAAGTGCACACTTCAAACTCATGAGTTTTATGATATGCAAATTGTATCTCAATAAAGCGACCAAACAACCAAGCAGACCAAAAAAGTCCATGAACCTAAAGATATCCCAAAAGATTTTATCTTTTAAAGCCCTTTGGGGGAAAAGGGCCAATAATAAAACCTTAATTTCAACACCCTGCTCTAACATCAGAAAATAACAGTAATTGTCATAATGGTTAAGGTTTAGAGATGCTGGCATATGCAAAGCACTATGCAATGAACAGATGATTTTTTCATTGACATTTTAAAGTAATCTTTTCAAGTGTATATTAATCTTTTTTAAGAAAGATTTTATTTATTTATTGGAGAGAGAGAGAGTTACAGACAGAGAGAAGGAGAGAAAGAAAGGTCTTCCATCTGCTGGTTCACTCCCCAGATGGCTGCAATGGCTGGAACTGGGCTGATCCAAAGCCAGGAGCTTCTTCCAGGTCTCCCACATGGGCGCAAGGCCCAAGCATTTGGGCCATCTTCCATTGCTTTTCTGGGTTATAGCAGAGAGCTGGATCAGAAGAGGAGCAGCTGGGACTTGAACTGGTGCTGGGATGCCGGCGCCGAAGGGAGAGGCTTAGCTCACTACACCACAGTGCTGGCCCCCAAGTACACATCAATCTTACACTCATTGTACACACACAAAAAGCTGAAACTTCATAAATATGCATATTAGTATATGAAAAAAAATTTTCTAGGCAAAACTGAACTCAGGACTCTGACAGGAAAACATGATCTAAAGATGAAGCCAAGGGCGTCACTGGGAATCCCTTTTTAAGGTCTCAGATAGCGCCGAGCCAATGGCCCAGACTCCTTCTGTCAGAATAAAGGTCCTTAGCATTATTTGCAAACCCACTGGCACAGCACCTTTGGCAGGTGGAGGTCTGGGATGCTGATAAATTCCATACCCTGCACAGACAGCCCATGATCTCAGGGCTGAGAAACTGCATCAGAACACACGAACAGCAGGTGAAGCCACTGCCTGTGACACCGGCATCCCACGTGGGCACTGGTTCGGGTCCCAGCTGCCCCACTTCCAGTCCAGCTCCCTGCTAATGACCTGAGGAAAGCAGTGGAAGATGGTCCCAGTGATTGGGCCGCTGCCACCCACATGGGAGACCTGGATGAAGCTCCTGGCTCTTACCTTTGGCCTGGCCCAGCCATGGCCATCATGGTTATCTGGGGAGTGAACCAGCAGATGGAAGATATTTATCTCTCTCTCTCTCTCTCTCTTTCTCTCTCTCTCTCTCTCTCTCTCTCTCTGTAGCTCTGACTTTGAAATAAATAAATCTTTGGGGAAACAAAAGGAATATATATATATAAACCCAAAAGACAGAAATGATATCTGTTTATTCAGTCTCTATCTCTCCAAAAAAGATCTGAGATACCGACATTGACGTTTCTGCCCCATTTGCTTCAGAACGCTGTTTGTACACAAAGCACACTTCAGAATTTCTTGAACTGAAGAAGTGGTAAATGTTGGCAAACAAGATTGACAAGAATTCTATGGCAATGCAAAGAGCTGCAGTCCCAGGTGCCATTTCCAGAACAGCCATTAACAAACCACATCAGCTTCCCAAGTCATATTCCTTCTCAGCTTCAACTACTCACCCTTGCGAAAATCCAAGGATTTAACTAAATGACACAAACAATGCCAATGCCTACTATGGGGAATATGAAGTCAGAACACACAGCAAGTAGAAGAAAATAGGTAAGTGTAATAAAGACAGTAATGTCTGCATGACACATTTTGTAAAAGCTGAAGACTAAGGATGCAGCAGGTCAGCATTCACTGTGTGCCTCCACGTGATGGGCACACAGTAAGGAAGGCATTGATAAATTCCAGGTTACGCCTATAGAATGTTTCCTTTGAAGGTTCTTCAAGTTACATACACTTTGTAAAATATCAAAGTAAATTTATTCCGTCACACTTGGAAATGACTACAGGACATTTCTTACAAAGTTTATAAGTGGTCTTGTCACACTGAAACGATATTAATGTTAGTTTAGAATTCACTGATTTTCCAAAGTCAGCTTGTGGGCTGCTATGAAATTCTCTGGGCACTTGTTAAGTACCCAGATCCCAGGGCCCGCCCTCCATCAGTGGTGCTGTTTTTCAGCGCCAGGGTAGAGTTCGCACTGGGTATTCTTAACAAAGCAACCCAGGTGATTCTGCTTCGCAGCCTTCTTTGGCAACCACACATTATTTTCTAAATGACTCATTGTAGATGTACACAATACATTGTAGTTCCACTAGAGAGAGCCACAATCAAGCCTTAATGTTTTCCAGTTGAAAAGTATTTAGCCCATAATGCCTTCCAAGAGAGACAGCAGTTTTGATTGATGATGTGAAATAAAACATATTTATTAGGCTGTTGAAAATGGGTCTTAGAGAGAGTAATAAAACCATGAAGTAGCGAAATAGCAATTTCTTTATGGCTCATATCAAAACCATCATAGTTCACAGAAATGGTCTCGTTTTTCCTTTGCCATCTAAGAAAAGAATGCACCTTCTGTTAAAAAAGGAAGTTATACAATGTAACTCAACTTCCTTTAAAATCCCAGTTTCTGAACTACAAAGTCCCTTAGAGAGCAGCAAATATAACTCTTCCTATTTCAGATGAAATAACTCCTAAGTGCAGGGAGGTTATGATCTGCTACAAGTCATGTATTTAGAAAGCTGCAAAGGCAGGGGTGGGGCGTTAAGTGGCCAGTTGCAACTCCAGCACCCAGCTTCCTGCTAACTGCACCTGGGCAAGGCGGCAGAAGACGCCCCGAGTACTTGGTCTCTGCTACCCAGGTGGGTGACTAGGATGGAGACCCTGGTCCCTGGCCTCAGCCTGGCCTAGAACTGGAGGTGACTGCCATTTGGGGAGTGAACTAGCAGGCGGAAGATATTCTCTCCTGCCCATCTCCCCCTCCCTCTGTGTGTGCGTGTGTGTGTGTGTTTTCTTCTCTGTCACTCTGCCTTTCGACGAAATGAACAAAATCATCTATAAAATAAGTTGTAAAGGGGACGGAACACTTGAAGAATCTCATTTTTGCAGTCCTCATTATGTCTTGTGGCTCTTTGTCATGTTTACCAGCAATAAAACAGTAAAGGTATAGAGTTGGGAAGAATGGGAGCCATCATGTAATGTAACACCTCTCTCTGTCTCTGTCTCTCTCTGTCTCTCTCTCCAAGGTACCCTGGACAGTCCTTTGCCTTAGGGCTGGGTGCTCAAGGTCTGCCACTGCTGGACTGGTGGCTGTGACTCTTCCTTCCAGCTGTTCACCTGGCAGCTTTGCCTTCCTGTAACAAAGAATGTCTTCACACGTCTAAAGAGGATGTCGCTAATCAGCTGAATATACTATCATCTCATCATGAATTTCTAAGGAAAAGCTTGCACAATATTTACTCTCTAGAAAGCAAATATTTTGAAACAAGACATATTGTTGCAGGCTACTAGAGCAATACAGAATTGGGACTGTAAATAAAGTAAAGACTCCACTGGCAATGCTGGCATCCCATATGGGCCATGTTCATGTCCTGGATGCTCCAACTTCCGATCCAGCTCCCTGCTGGTGGCCTGGGGAAAACAGCAGCAGATGGCCCATGTCCTTGGGCCCCTGCCACTCATGAGGGACACCTGAAAGAGTCTCCTGGCTCCTGGCTTCAGCCTTGCACAGCTCTGGCAGTTGTGGCCATCTGGGGAGTGAACCAGCGATGGAAGAGCGCTCTCTCTGTCTCTCCCTCTCTGTAACTCTTAACAAAAAATTAAATAAATATAGAATTTTATGTAAGATATAAGTTCACTAATTTGTTATTGTTAATAAAAAACCATGAAAAAGAATTCTTTGAATAAATACACAAGAGCACAGAACCGATCAGCCCTACACACTTCCCCATGATGGCAATGAGAGTGATGAACCATGAGAACCCCTGTCATGACGGGCTGCACAGCTGTGGGCGGCCGGGCAGCAACAGAGGCCCCGCCCCGGTGAGCTCACCATGTAGAGTTTCGCTGCCCTCCTGTTGCTTATGTCTGCTCTGGTGTCGTCATCGTCGTCTCCCTCCTGGAGCTCTGGCTTTTTCCCTAAAACCTGGAAAAAAAGGAACATTGGATCAGATACAGATTTCTCATTCAATGATGTAAAGTTAAAAATAATAGTAAGCCATCTTACACTTATGAAGATGTTAATTATACACTAACTAAAATTAAAATGAACAAGTGCAGGGGTCAGAGCCACGGTGGTGGCAAATTCAAGTCCTGTTACCCTGGTGATGTTCTTCAATGGCGGCTCTCATGCGTTCTGTGCATACGTGATGCAACCCAAAAATTCAAGTAAAGTCTTTGGCAGGAAAAAGATCAATCTTTGAATTTTTTCATATTAAACTCACAAAAATATATTGATAAGCACTTTAATAATTCACTAAATTAACTGATACAAATACTATCTAATATTAAGGACAGGTATAAAATATAACTTATTCTAAATAATGTAAATTTTATAAAAATATAGTAGAAATTCAAATTTAGACTCTATAAAAAGATTTATTTAAATCTGATATTTACCATACAATGATATAATTTATATTGTTTTCCTTATAATATAGTGCATGGAAATGTATACTGATGAGTCAGTCTACAGTAAAAACGTACATAAATCTAACCCTTGTGAGAGCATGGGCACTTTCACAGAGAACTTAATGCTTTTGGGAATATGCCACGCAGCAATCAACAAAACATTTTTAATTATTGTACATGCTAAGTGATTGTAATAGTCTTTCTTTTCTGTTAAAAGTAGGATCATGCTAAAACCCAAAACACTTGCAACTGAAAGTTTTTTTAAGATTTTTTTTACTTTGGTAGAAGTACATAGATTTCATAACAGCCATCAGACCTCCAGCCTCCTTTGTAATTATACCCCAGCCAGGGCAGAGCTTTGGATAAACAGTCTGGGCTAGGAGCACATCCTGCTGGGAAGTCTCCCTGTGGGCCAGCTGACTCAGGGATTTGGGACACACTCTAACTTTTAATTTCCAGACAACCATTTCCATATTATCCAGTTATCTTAATTAGCTTCTTAAGGGACTGTAGCATAGTTGGAAACTGAACCCAAGGGATTTACCAAAATCAGGTTTAACTCCAGGGGTACAAGAGTGCCAAATATTGCCAGGTATCTCCAGGGATCATTTAAACAGCCTTTACCAAATACTTCACTGGGATACATAAATGAGTTTCCAATCTCTTTGTCTGAATGTTAAGAATTGTATACCCTGCCTAGAAGGAGTATACTAAATATGAAGGTACTTCAAAAAGTTTGTGTACAATGGAATGAAAAGATGTTTATTTTGACGCCAAAAATTTGAAACCCATGTACAATTTTTTTCATAATACACATTTCCATGAACTTTTTGAAGACCTTTCATATGCATGGATTTCATTTTTTTTGCAGCACAAACTTAGTTTTTAATCTCATTTTCTACAAACTTTTAGAAATTACTACTTATGCTTACTTTATTGACCGTGCCATAATTTAGATTTTTGGCATAAACTGTAAATACAGCTTTTCTTTTCCTCTGCAGGTAGGATCATGCTTATATTTAAAATATTTTCATTTTGGATTGCCTATGTAATCAGCATTTAGCTCACATGATTGGTATGTGAAATAACATACAAGGGGCAAGAAAACACAGAAGCCTTATTTGAGAGTGTGTACTTCCTTTACTGTTCTAGCCAAGAATCTGTGGGGAGCAACTCGGACTAGACTAAGTTACTGGAATTAAGACTTATTCTATGCATCTGCTCTCCCACAATATGGCGCTGAGAAGGGAGAAACAGCTTCTACACAGCTGCCTCCAGTTCAACCAATAAACTGTAGGACTTACTCCTGATTGGAGGAGAGCAGCGTACTCGGCGTGTGGGTAGCAGAGTTGGGATTGGTGGAAGAGGACTATAAAGGAGGAGAGAGACAACGTGCACCAGGAACATCTAAGGGGAACATCTATCTGAAGGAACACCTGTGCAGCCCCCGAGAGAGCCAGCCGGCGGTGTGCTGCTCCCCCGCGGAAGTGGGGAAAGTGGCTAGGGGGAACCGCCCTTCCACGGAGGTGGAAGGGATGGTAGCCAACCTGGGAAGGACCAGCAGCTAACCCGGGAAGGGCCGAGCAGACGAAAGAACAGCGCAGGGTCCTGTGTCGTTCCTCCACGAAGAGGGGGAGCGACATAATGGTGCCATGACTCGGATATGAAGCCTAGGCAGGGTTTAGTGTCGTTCCTCCATGAAGAGGGGGAGCGACAGAATCTGTCACTCAAGTTTAGAGCTCTCCTTTCTTTCAATTATTTCCTATAAATTTCTATTTTAAAGTATTGCTGTCATATAACATGTCCTGAGCAGAACTGGTTTTCTACAAAACTGACCATTTTCAGTTCTCTATGGTGTCAGTGTACCTCTATTCTCCCTAAAATTAATGGACTTAAAATTAGTCTTGAATTCGTTCTTTCCTCCACTTTGAATCTTTTGCCCACTTAATCATTAAATTCTGTATTTTATAATAATGGCCAGCGTCACTGTTTCCTACTCCCTTTTTTGTTTTTTTTAATCATCCTTTGCAAAACAACTAAAAAAAAAAAAAAAAAAGTTTGTTTATTTGAAGGGCAGAGTTACAAAGAGAGAAGGAGAAACAAAGAGAGAGACTGAGTTTCCATTCGCTGGTTCCCCAAATGGACCCATCGGCTGGGGCTGGGCCAGGCTGAAGCCAGGATTCAGGAGCTTCAACCAGGTCTCCTACATGGGTGGCAGGGGTCTAAGCACCTGGGCTATCTTCTGCTGCTTTCCCAGGTGCATTAGCAGGGAGCTGGGAAGGAAGTGGACCAGCCAGGACTCGAACTGGTGCTCACACGAGATGCTGGTGCTACAGGCTGCTGTTTAACCTGCTGTGCTTTTATTTAGAAAATGAGGTATTTAAAGCAGACACACACACACATGAGAGAGAAAAAGAAATATCTCCAATCTGTTAGCTTATTTCCCAAATGCCTGGGAGCCCAGAAATCCATCTGGGTCCCCCATGTGAGTGGCAGGTATTCAAATACTTGCGCCATCATCACCTGCCTCCTCCCAGGTATGCAGTAGCAGGGGGTCAGCACTGGAACCCAGCCCTCTGATATGGAATCCTGGGGCCCAAGCGGTGCTGGAACTGCTGCTCCCATGTCCACTCTTCATCGTAATCATCTCTGTGTGGATGGCTCTACTTCTACTTTCACTATAAACAAAGAAGGGCCTCAAGTTTCGAGAGCAAACACTTTAATTACTCAGTAATGTTTGTGCCTTATTTGCTTTTCTCCACTGAAAAACAATCATAAGAAAGCATATGGAACACAGAAGCAAACTGGGGAAGTAAATCCTTTCAGTTGTATTTACTTGCCTTATGTAAGCATGACAAATATTTGATAATAGGGAAGATCCACAGAGATTAAAAAACCAGGCAATTCTTAGGAAGGGAAGGGGCCTCACTGAGCCAGTCCACCATTTCCAACATGTATGCTGCCATTGTCTCAGTGATGTGCTTCTCAGCCTCCAAAAATACTTTGATTCCTTTATCTACGCCAAATAAAGGGGAAACTACACACTACACAGTGGATAAAGGAATTCTGGTGGTGTGGTGTGGGGAGAAAGCACGTAATACACACACGTGGAGAGAAGAACAAAGAAAACTGCAAAGTGAACTTCTGCAGAAGAGTAGCTACTTAATTATCTAGCACAGAGTTGAGCAACAGAAGTTTCCCCAACGCTGAAACATTCCACACCTGTGCTGTCCAACACAGCATTAAGCATCTGTAGCTACTGCGCCTCTCAAACATAGCTAATGTGACTCAGTGAGTTTTAAATTTTACTTAATTTTGATGTAAGCTTAAATAGTCACACATGTCGTGAAGAGTCTATAGAGGACTCAGGCGGCGCTGAGGCCTTGGGGAACTTTCCATGATGCAAGTGTGCTCTTTAGTTCTACTGTAACATTGACGTATTCGAGGTCAGGTTTAAAGGGTCAAACGCAACTTAACCCATCCTTTACACTACTATGGAAGCTGATTCACAACTACTATGTGGGAAGTTAAATTACAAGTTACTATAAAATGGAAAAGTGATTAAAATACACAAGCCAGAATGCCAACTTATTAAACACACAATTGTTTTCCACTGGTTGTGTATTAGAACTCTCTGGGCCGGCGCTGCGGCTCACTAGGCTAATCCTCCTCCTTATGGCGCCGGCACCGCTGGTTCTAGTCCCGGTCGGGGCGCCGTAGTCTGTCCCAGTTGCCCCTCTTCCAGGCCAGCTCTCTGCTGTAGCCAGGGAGTGCAGAGGAGGATGGCCCAAGTCCTTGGGCCCTGCACCCCATGGGAGACCAGGAGAAGCACCTGGCTCCTGGCTTCGGATCAGCGCAATGTGCCGGCTACAGCGCGCCAGCCACGGTGGCCATTGGAGGGTGAACCAACGGCAAAAAGGAAGACCTTTCCATCTCTCTCTCTCTCACTGTCCACTCTGCCTGTCAAAAAAAAAAAAAAAAAACTCTCTGGACAGTTATAAAAAAAAATTGTCAATGACTGAATCCAACCTCTAGACTGACAGTTAATCTGATTGAGGTCCTAGCACTGTGTCTTTTAGAGTCCTCTGGCCAGGTTTGGTGACATGATTCAAATCTTCAGTGGCATCAGCCTTCAGGGCAGGTCTGCCAAGCATTTCTGAAGTTCACATCAGCTTCCCAGGGCATGTCTCTCCTGGCTAAATTATCAGGCCTGGAGGTCTGGAAGCTTCTCCATGTCAAAATCACAGGTACAGCTTTTAGGCCATCGGGCTTTTCTGGGGATCACTAAACTTTTTTCATAAGATTGCAAACCTTTGGGCATTTCTGGCTGATCTCTGCTTGATTAGACACTTCCAAGGTTGGCCTTTGCACTTCCTGCCTTGTATGACACACCCCTTTTGGCAGGATCAGGCAGCCTGAGCTGGATGGAGTCACCACTAAGAGGCTCTGTGGTCTTGGTTCCACATTTAAACCATCAACTAGTGGCACTCAGTTACGATGGTGAGTAAGTGAATC